TTGCAGGATCACAGCTTACTTGAACTTCTAGGCTCAGGTGATCCTCCCGCGTCAGTCTCCCAGGAACTAGGAGTCCAGATGTGTGCCACCACCCCCAGCAGATTTTAATTTCTTAATCTAGTTATTAAATGCTGATAGCAATGGGCTTTCAGTCAGATTTGGTGAGAAATGTACTCAGCAAGCGCATTTCCCTGTGGCTCAGACACTCTCTCCTCCCCACAAACACCACCAGCACCTACAACAGCTTCACCTAAAAGGGAACTGTGAAGAGGAATAGATTTATATCGCAACTCAGTAAACAAAGAACACAGGCGTGAGGAATCAAAACAGTCCCTTTAAATTCTGATCTTTAAAAAGATTTAATTTTTCCAAATTAGAGACTTTCTTTGCCAGATGCCAGGGAAAGATAAGAACAACTGATCATGCCTCAAAATCAGAGATTTTTTTTTTTTTTTTTGTGCTTCACAAAATCCACAAAATGAGAAAGTCCAAGGTAAGCTGAGAATTATTAGGGCTTGGGTAAGAGCTGAAATACACATCAGAACAGCCCGTCTGCTTGGCAGACTGCTATTACCACATACCTGCAATAAGAAATGAGTTTTTCACAAAAAAAGAGGATTGTATATAAAGCAATCTTCCCAAACATACCAGTGGCTTCAGTGCACTTTCTTTACACACCACAGAATGAAAACGAAGTCTTCAACCTATGTTGAGTTTAGTCATTAAATACATTTGTAAAAGAACATATTTGGGTTTTCAGCTCTGCTACCGTCACATGTACATTCGAAACAAGTGATTTGGTCATTCCCTGCATACAAAGGTAGCCATCTGCACAGGTTTGGGGGCAGGGAGAGTGGTGGGAACACGTTTCCCATCACCTGTTGTCCCTTGTTTTCCGTATGTGGCCCACTGCTGGCTGTGGAGAGTATACTCTCTCTCCTCTCTTGCCCAAATGAAACAGAGTGGCAAGAGTCACCAAACCCTTCCTTTGGCAAGGCACAGCTGCCATGAAGCTCCATGGGCCTCTGAGGAGTGGCAAGACCAGGCTTTCTCCAGGAAAGCAGATTTGCTCTGGGATGGGAGTGGAGACCTCAGGGCCCTGTGGACTCAGAGGTACGGCAGCTCAGCATGGCCACAACAGGTAATGCTCTAGCAAATCTCCCCAAACTACCACCTCAGTGACTGACTCACACCATTTGCTCATTATTCTCAGTATTAGAAATTAGGAAAGGCAGGGATAAGAGATCTGTGTGTAACCTTGGATATGAACTATTCGTTGTCATCACTTTCACACCCAGCTTCGTATTCAGGAACCATAACTGAACAAAAACCACGTGTTTAATTACAGAAGACCAGTTTCTGTTTTAGCATTTATTGGGTGCCCACCACCAGCCAGGCCCCGAGCTGAGTGCTCAAGCACACTCACATGGTACCTCACAACAACCCTGTGAGGTAGGGATGGTTCTTATTCAATAGTCCAGAGAACAAGGCTCCAAGGTGACCCGACCTGTCTGCCTGCCCGCTCGTAGCTCCTCAGGTGGCAGAACAGGGACTGGATTCAGTTTAAGAGACAGGGTGGTGTTGCTATACTGCTCAGGCTGGTCTTGAAAGCCTCCAGGGAAGAGGGATCCTCCATAGCCTATACCTCAGCTGGGACTATAGGCACATGGCACCATGCCTCGCTGAATTTTCTTTTTCACTCCAGCTTCAATCCAACTCTTGGTTTCATTGTTAGAGACTATAAAAAGGTTTGGTCCCAATCCAGAGAGCCCATTAAGTAAGTTTCCAGGTTTTGTTTCCTATTTCCCATTCCCATCTTTTTGAAGGTTGAAAAAAATATAATAATTAAAAAATTAACATTGGTGTATAGAGTTCGGCAAATCAGTACAGTTGTTTGGTTCAGAGTCCCTTTCTTTTCAGCTGCTGGCATGGCAGTAAGAGTTCTAGTGACACCCTCGACAGCTTCTCTCTCCTGACTCCTGTCACTCCCTGTGCCTGAGGCCTGCTGGCCACACTCCTACTAGTTGAAGCACAAAGAAGTGCTTGGGGCAATGAAATAGGCAAAGGAAAAATGGCGGGCAGGTAACCCTCACATGATGGTTAGCAAGCATACATAGATTCTTCTGGTTTTTCTCAACTAAGAAGTCTCAGACCTCCCTTCTCTGGACCCATAGGCTAGACCTGACCCAGGCAAAGGGCTTCCTCGGGTCTCTGGGGAGGAAAGCACCTGCCCATCCCTGCCAGGGCCATGATGGGAAGGGTAGGGCCAGACTGGCATAGGGTGCCAGAGGCCATACTCCCCTCAAAGTGTAAGCAACCAAGGCAGAAAGAAGAAAGTGAATTCCCAAAATCTTCTAGAAAGATGCTGATCTCAACAACAAAAGAAACCCGGCAAAGTAGATCTGAGGCCCCAAACAACCACAAGTGTAAAAGTCAAGGCACCAAAACTAGTAACATCTGTAACACATAACTTGAAGTACAGCCCTCTTCTTTGGTTGTCATAAACCCTAGCTCAGGGTTCTAAATATATCATGTACGTTTTCAACAATTTTTCTCCCATTAACATTCACTCTGGCCAAACACACCTCAAGAGGAGTCCATGACTGCCCTCTAGAGACAGAGAGGACCCTCTAGGGGTCCTATGCCATAAGCCTCTGGAATACTCAAGGCTGCATTCTGCCACAGCCCCTCACTTTGACTGGCATATGCCACTGCATTGGACTACATTCCTGGGGTCTCACCTGCAGGGGAGCTGGGACAGACACATGTCTGATGAACACATACCCTGAGCCTATGAGACAGTTCCTCCAGCGATGTCTGTGCAGGTCAGAATGGGCCCAAGCGCTCTTGTACTGGAGTCTCCATAGAGCCACTAGACCTGCCCAGAAGTATCAGGAGCATGTTGCCATAGCCACACAGTGAAGCTGACAACTCCCTGTGGAAGGCTACTCAACTGCCAAAGCCTGAAAGCAGGAGTCTCATCCTTCCTGTTCAAAACATGAGAACCTGAAAAGGCAGGTCACAGACAGTATTTTTGCCTTTTTACTTCTATCCTTAGCTTTCACCACTCCAGAGACTCTAAATGATCTTTCACACCATTAACTCCACTTAGATGCCCTCAAAACTTCCACTGCTATACATCTTGGTTTGGAATGCAGAGTCTGAGGTATCTGAGGTTGTTTTAATTCTCTAAAAATGAAAAGGGAAGCTAGATAAATACTGAAACTTGCAGCTACAATCTCTCACCACTTTGCCGAACAAATTTTCTAAGATTAAAATAGAAAAGGCACATGTCCCCTGTCCAGGTGTCCAGAGCTGCCTTCTCTCTCATGTTGCTCTCTATGGCTACTATTCCTGATACACGGAAGAAGAGCCCCTGACAGACAATGGAGCTCGGGATGAGAGGACAGTTCAGACACTCCTCACATTTGAACTCTGTGCTTAAAGGGTTAAGAGTAGCCACAAAATTTTCTCTCAAAAAAAAAAAAAAAAAATCACACAGTTATTCCACAGAAAAGTAAAGCAGAAGAACAGATAATTTAATTATACAAATGAAATCACTTTCCTTTGCTTCAGGAGTCCAAGTAAGTTCACTTGCTGTCAGAAAGAAAGGTTTTTAATATCAGAAACAACCTCTCTTAATTCTAATACCCACAAAGAAAACAAGATCAGAAACAAAAGTTCACCATGGAAGAAATCCCAGAATAATCCAATTTGGAAAGAATTTAATTAACAAAATAAAATAGAGGGAGAATGGTCCAGGTGGGGCTCTGGGGAAAAAGAACCCCTGTCTGAGGCCGATGTCTGCCAGCATACTGGCAAGCCCTGAGTGGGCAGCCCTTGGACCTGTCACTGCAGAATCACCAGCCTTGACAACCACTCTGTACCATGCCACAGTTTCCTTACACACGCTGGTCATTATGTACAGATATCAAAAAACCGAACAATTGCAGTTTGTTATGAAGTGGCTTCTAGCTCTCCTATGCTGGCTTGGCACATTCATGCATGCAAAGCAAGGAGGTTTCGAGGGCCTCACCAAACAGTTAAATTTTGGCAAAAAGAGAGAACAAAAATCTAAAATTCATTAGCAG